CTCGAGAGGGGGGTGAGGAGTGATGAGGAGGGAAATGGGCTGGAGAGGGTGGGGTGGGGGGGGGAGGGGGAACAGGTGAGGGTGGTGGTGGGGGGAACAGGTGAGGGCTGGGGAACAGGAGTGGGCAGAGGAAAGAGGGCTGGGTTACAACATTTCCTACTCTTCTTCTTGGCAAATTAAATCTTTAATTGAAGATGAGGGCTGAGGGGCTTGGTGGTTAGAGTTGTGGTCCTCTTCTCTTCAACTTTATTGGTTAAGTCCAGTCTCTGGGTTGGAGGTTGTGTAGCTAGCTGCTATAGTAGAACTCGGTTAATTACTCAAGTGGCTATTTAATTCAGTCTCTCTTAGTTTTTAGGAGTTTCTGTTAGCAGAGGATTGATGAAGTTTTTTTTGAACAATACTGATGGCAAGGCTTACATTTAATTAAAGTTTGTTTCTTGGCAGAGTTTATTATTTCTTGCTTTTATGGCTTTGTTTATACATATTACAAATTTTTAATAGATGACAGGTGAGGGTGGTGGTGGGTGGAACAGGTGAGGGCTGGGAAACAGGAGTGGGCAGGGGAAAGAGGGCTGGGTTACAACAGGACCACAGGACTGTGTCCAGCAAAGTCTTTTGCCTTGGTGATTAGAGATGACAGTTTATTTTGACAATCTGAGGACAGGTTTTGCCCTAAGTGTAGGCACAGGTTCACCGTTAGAAAGGAATTTCAAAGTGCTTAAGAAAGAGCAGTCCAGGTGAGCAACTGGGGGCCCAGCTTCCTATGAAAGTGAGGAAGCCGGCAAGAAGGAGGGGTGGAGGGACTGATGAGAGGTCAGGTCCAAGGGCAGAGACGTTAAAGTAAGGGGAGAGCTGGAAGGCTGGAAGGGTGCGGTCAGGTGGGATATTGGAATTGAATATTTCTTAGATGTATCAAATTCAGATAATGACAAATTCCAGGATGCAGTGAAGGTGGGGATGGCTGACGAACAGGTTGCTATGAGGGTTGGTAAACAGTAGCTTTCCGTTTGCACGCCTCTCACAAAGCTATCAGAGAATAAAGAGACTCTGGGTGTGGCTATGGGTGTTTTCTGTGAGCTACTGTGTCTCTCTTCCCAAGCAATCTGATTTAGGGGAAACCAACTTTTCAGGATCTTTCTATTGCCGTAATCAATTATTTAGAAACTAGCTTACTGTAAAAGTGCTGCTTAGGTAAAATAGAAATCACATCTCTCTTTGATTACTTTCGCATGCTAACTTAGAGTTTCTTAATACTAATGATGATAAGTTGGGTGCAGGAAGTAGTTATCTGTGGTAAAGAAACTGAATTAGATTAGGGATATCCATGATGAAAGAACATTTATAAAGCAGCATGGCTGACACAGAGGATTAAAGTTCACCTACTAGCAATCACAAACACTTCTATAGCATTTCTAGCGTGCTAGGTGCTGTTCTTAGAGCTTTACATATAAGAACTTCACTTAATCCTCCCAACTGCCCTTTGACATTGGTGCTATCATTATCTTCATTTTGCAGATGAGTCAAATAACTTGCCCAGAGGCCACACACCTAGTAAATAGCAGAGCCAGGATTTGATCCCAGGCAGATATTGCCAATACTGCAGGGAGGCAGTTAGCCTCTTGCCTTTTGATGACAAGACAGACTACCAATAAGTCGCTTGCCCAAGGCTAATGAATAGTGGAGCCGGAGTTCCATCCATGGCTGGCTGAGCCCTTAACGTCCAAGCGGTGCAGGTGCGTCTGTCCAGATGATGACCTTCAGTTGTGAAAATGACCTCTGGCCTTTGCATCTTCCTTTGTGGAGGTAAAGCTGCAAAAAACTCCTGCTGGTGGTGGGGAGTAGTTGCTCAATTCATGTTTGTGGAATAAACAAATGAATAAAGATTGCCACACTCCCTGGTGTCACCCTTGGCCAGCAGGATGCATTTTATAGTTGAGTAATTAATTCCAGATAAAGACAGGAACATGGTGGGTTTTTTTTTGTTTTTTGTTTTTTTTTTTTTGAGACAGAGTGTCACTATATGGCACTCTACGGAGGGCCACGGCATCACAGCTCACAGCAACCTCAAACTCTTGGGCTTAAGTGATTCTCTTGCCTCAGCCTCCCAAGTAGCTGGGACTACAGGCGACTGCCACGACACCCGGCCATTTTGTTGTAGTTGTAGTTGTCATTGTTGTTGAGCAGCCTCAGGCCGGGTTTTAACCCACCAGCCCCAGTGTATGTGGCCGGCCCCCTAGCCAAAGAGCTAAGGGCGCCAAGCGCAGGAACATGGTCTTTATAAGCTGCCCTTAATGGAGAACACGGGCAGAAAGGAAGGGACAGAGAGAAACAGGGGACCCTGATAAGAAGGGGCTGGGGGAGCAGGTAGGTGCCAGCAGAGGCTGCGATCCCCAAAGGGAGATCTGGGCCTTTCTGACCGGAGGGCTGGATGGCCGGTGGACAGGTCGCTCACCTCTCTGCCTGCCCCCTCTTGCTGCAGGGAAAATGGGAGCGGGGCCAAGAGGAAGGCCTGGGGCTCTCGATCGATAAATATTTGTCCACCCATGGATGAGTAAAGGCGAGGGAGGAGGTGTGTCCTCCCTTGTCGATCACAACCTGGAGCCACTCCTGGATAAAACTCCAGCCACAGTCAGGTCACCAGGGGACCAGCAGGCACAGCCTGGTGGTGGTGCTCTCGCGTGGCAGCAGACAGCAGCGGCACAACCATGCCCAGGTACACGGTGCACGTACGCGGGGAGTGGCTGGCCGTGCCCTGCCAGGACGCGCAGCTCACAGTGGGCTGGCTGGGCCGCGAGGCGGTGCGGCGCTATGTCAAGAACAAGCCGGACAACGGCGGCTTCACCTCGGTGGACGACGTGTGTTTCCTCGTACGCCGGTGCAAGGGGCTGGGCCTGCTGGACAATGAGGACCCGCTGGAAGTGGCCCTGGAGGACAACGAGTTCGTGGAAGTGGGTGAGTGGCTGCAGGAGAGGGGCTTGGGGGCCAGCTCTCCGGTCCCTCCACCTCAGGGACACTTGCTGAGTGCTGGGACACTTGGCCTCTGGGTGTCCTAAATTCTCACCCACCCTGTGACATGGGCAGGCTTCTGGTCCACCTTTGACAGCAGCGGTGTCAGGCAACAGACTCAGAGAGGAGTGACTTTCCCAGAGACAGGCAGCGAGCAAATAACGCGGGCTGTACTAGACTGCAGGTCTGAGTCCCTTTGCAGGGACTGACTCATTCTCAAGGTCCTTTTGTCCCTCCAAAGAACCTCACCCGACTGGAGGCCAGCCCCACAAAGGTATTAGGAGTTCAGATTTAAAAGAAAATAAAGTTGGGACTTGGGATGCAAGGGGCAGTTAGATCTTGAACTTGCATTTAACCCCCCCTTGTCTCTGAACTGACACCTACATCTCTGCTTTTGCTCCCGTCCCATGTAAAGACACCACTTGAAAACATCTGATGCAGTTTCAAAGCAGCCAGTCCTACAGAATTCAAGGGCTATTGACCAGCCCTTTCTTGTTGAACAGTAGTGACAAATGTGGCTCTGTGTTGCGCTCTGCATTCTTGTTTCAGTTATAGAAGGCGATGCAATGTCTCCCGACTTCATTCCATCTCAGCCAGAAGGAGTCTACCTGTATCCTTTTCTGTGTGCTCTTTGGTCTCCTCTTGCTCACGGTGGGGCTGGCGTTTTTCCACAATGCCCAATATTTTCCTTTACCTGGCTTCAGATACAGCAAGTACCGGGAGCCTGAAAAGGTAAGCGTCAAACTTCTTTCTTTTTGTTAAGAAAATGAAGTCTCTTCATTTAAGAAGGTGGCAGGCGAGCCAAGTTTCCGAGGAAACACTAACGATTAGGATAGGGTTTATCCGGCCTATCCCTGTGTAGTTGGGAAAGGGGCCTGGAAAGGTATTATGTTGTTGCATTTCTCCCTGTCCTGACTCAGCCTCCTCTGAAGCAAGAGCACACTTGCGCTCCCTCTCTTTCTCTCTAGCTTTTGTTTTGTGGTTTGTTTGGTTTTTTTTTTTTCCTGTTGTTTGGGGGTTTTGTTGTTTTGTTTTCTTTTGGTTTGGGCTTTGTTTTTGTTTTGTTTTGTTTTTTGAGACAGAGTCTCACTATGTCACCCTCAGTAGAGTGCCATAGTGTCACAGCTCACAGCAACCTCTAACTCTTTTTTTTTTTTTGAGACAGAGCCTCAAGCTGTCCCCCTGGCTAGAGTGCTGTGGCATCACAGCTCACAGCAACCTCCAACTCCTGGGCTCAAGCGAGTCTCCTGCCTCTGCCTCCCAAGTAGCGGGGACCACAGGCGCCCGCCACAACGCCTGGCTATTTTTTTGCTTGCAGCCATCATTATTGTTTGGCGGACCCAGGCTGGTTTCGAACCCACCACCTTAGGTGTATGTGGCTGGCACCTTAGCCACTTGAGCCACAGGCGCTTAGCCACAACCTCTAACTCTTGGGCTTAAGCAATTCTCTTGCCTCAGCCTCCCAAGTAGCTGAGACTACAGGCGCCCACCACAATGCCCGGCTATTTTTTTGTTATAGCTGCCATTGTTGTTTGGCAGGCCCAGGCCAGGTTCGAACCCACCAGCTCCTGTATATGTGGCTGGTACCCTAGTTGTTGAGCTACAGACATCAAGCCTGAGGTTTTTTTGTTTGTTTGTTTGTTTGTTTGTTTGTTTTTTAAGACAGAGCCCCACTATTCCACCCAAGCTGGCCTTGAACTCCCGGGTTGAAGGAGTCCTCCTTCCCGCCTCAGCCTCCCAGGTAGCTGGGACTATTGGCCCACCACACCCAGCTCAGCGAGCTGTCTTTTTAATTAGCACGTAAACATTTGACAGCAGTGACAGAAGTGTCAAAGTTCGATTCTGCTAGGGGTTTCCCTTCTCTCCTGTTAGGGCAATTTGTCTGTTTAAACTCACCGAGATCCCCTTCTTTTATGCAGTACATTGCCTTAGATGGGGACAGTCTGACCACAGAGAATCTGGTCAGCTTGGGAAAAGGACACTACAAAATAAAGGTATGGGGGTGGGGAGTGGGGAAGGATGTCCTCAGGCCATTCTTGCCGCACCCCGATGCCTTTAACGTGCCCGGTTCTGGCTGACATGTTCTAGCTCACCTCAACTGCCGAGAAGAGGGTGCAAAAATCCCGAGAAGTCATAGATAGCATCGTGAAGGAACGAACAGGTATTTTTCTCTCTTTATGTTATGAAATCCTTTTCATAGACAAAAGAAATTCTTGCATCTAATTGGATAATGTCTAATTTTTTATTCTAGTTGTTTATGGCATCACTACAGGTTTTGGGAAATTCGCCAGAACTGTAATTCCTATCAATAAGCTACAGTAAGTTTGAAACACACACACGTTCATGGTCCTCCTGCCCTCGTCTTTGAGATATTTTTCAACAAGGGAAATGATGAACATTTGCCCAGTTTTCAGATGAGCAGGATGATACTTGGGTTAACTGGCATGTGAATTAGTATTGAAAAACACAGGATTCGACGATACCCTTTCTTTTCCCAGCCGAGGGATCATTTACACTTCATGGTATCTAAGAGGGTTTCTTACCTTTCTCTTCCAGGGAGCTTCAAGTCAACTTGGTACGCTCACATTCTTCAGGTAAATTATTCAAAACATTGGCTGCCTAGGTCTTGTTTGATTCAATGCGTAAGGCACAGCACGCATCCTCTTGTAATGGCCACAAATAGCTAATGCATTCCGAGGACCAGATGTCCAGGCAGAGAAAGGGAAATAGGAAGTTATCAGCTGAACTTCAGGAAAAGAAATGGGCTCAGGGGAGGGATGGGGTGGGGACAGAGAACGTGTCCTATCCTGCTGAGGGAGAGGTGCATTCAGGGAAGAAACTGAGGCTGGAGCACAGGCAATGAGTTAGGAGGGTGAGGTGAGATGGAAAGGCCGCCACGAATCAGCACTCATTGCATCGTGAGTTGTGCTAAGGATCCTGGGTGCTGTTTGAAAGTGTTTGGGAGGGTGGGGGTTCATGGGGCATCATAGGAAAGGCTGAGAAGGCAAAACTGGCTTTTACCTTTGTCTGGAAGATGGGGCGTGGAGAAGGCAGACAGGTAAGACAGAGAGCTGTGCAACTATCTGTATTCAGAGAGGAAAAGTGACAGCAGGGGGGAAATTTGAGGGATGGAGGGAAGGAGGTGGCTGGGAGCTAAAAGGGGGTTGCTTTCTTTGGAGAAAACATCATTCCTGTTTTGCAGGTGTTGGGAAACCATTAAGTCCCGAGAGGTGTCGGATGCTCTTGGCTTTAAGGATCAATGTCTTAGCCAAAGGCTACAGTGGCATTTCCCTGGAGACCCTCAAACAAGTCATTGAAGTATTTAATGGTAATGCAGGGGGTGCTCAGCTGACTTGACTGACAGAATGCTGAGAAGTTGCCTGAAATGAGAAGGACAGAATAGAATTGAGATGAGTGGGAGATGGGCTTGGCAAGTAGGATAGCTAGATGGGGGACAGAGAGGTCAGCGATGCTTTCTCCTGTGAATTTGACCCATTCTACGTCACACGTCACTTAGCTTTTGGCATCTTAATGACTAGAACAAGCTCCCCTAAGTCGGTCGCTAAGTTCAGGTCCCCCTAGAAGAACCTTGCAGTCAGTGGTGCCTGAATATAGTTAGAGAAGTCACATCCAAGTATCTGGGGACCATAATCGTTCCCGGAGTCTATACCAAAGCCCTGTTTTGTACTTCTGGCTGGTACCTAGGAATCTGAAATCTTAATGCTCCTCAGGTGATGGAACAGCCACACTTGCACAAGCTGGCTGGGTCAACTTCTTGTAAAGTTAGAACGTACATGCAAAGAGGTTGAATTAACTTGTCATCAGGAAGCTATGTAGGGCAAGATATGATGCAACTCAACTCTTTGGAGTTTGCTTTCCAGATAAGAAAATTCTAATGTGGAGACCAGATTTTCAGTGCCTGTTGGCACTGCCCATTTTCACAGAAAAAGATGGGCCTTCTAGGTCACTGGAGGCTCAGAAGCTCTTTGTGGGGGAAGAGTGGGAGGAGAAGCAGAGGTAGATAGTCACATAGGGCACAACATGTGTTTGAGTACCTGTGCTGTGGAGACAAGTGACCCATAAATGTGATATGCCAACCAGTGAAGAGTAATTTGGATGAACACTTTATAGTATTTTGGGCTATGCTGAATACACCAAGTTATTCCAACACCTATTGCTACTCCGTACTCTAACATGAGCCTAAAATCCCAGTGTGACTTCAACCTTGAATCCACTATTCTTCATGAGTGAATCTACAGCACAGCACCTCTGGGTCCCTAGAGCTCTGAGAAGACAGAGAGCTGTGATCTGGAAGCTGGCCTGTGGAAGGCTTTGCTTTATCCTACTGACATTATTTATCAGCTGGAAAGAATATTGCTGTCAGGTATCTGATTTTACTTTAGAAAAATGAAACTGTCTTTTCATGGTAACTTTTGGGGAATTTCTCACAAAACAATATATGTGCTGGGGAATCCCAGCACCATTTATAAGTGGTGGTGGGACAGCAGATTGGCAAGAAAGAAGAGATCAAGCTGCCTGTGATTTTATCTCCCCAGGGAACTTCTGTTAACACTTGGTGCACCGTGACCTTCTAGAACATTCTATATTACTTTTTCAATGTAGACACATATTTCCAAGCATTCCCCAATAGTTTTTCATGGTTACATATCATTGAGTCACATGAATGTCTCTTAATTTCATATTTAGATAATTTCTAACTTTATGTTCTTATAAATAAGGCTATAATGGACCACAGTGAATTCCTGATGACATCTTTAACACATTGACTGCCGCACACACACAACAAAAGAAAAATTTTCCTTGGAGCCACAGTGCTTTGTTATGAAAATAGAATAAAAACATATAAAATGAAATGATCCTAAGACATACATCAATAAAAAAATAAGAAGAAAACTTGAAAATTAGTAATGTAAAAACCAATCTAAAAACTTGAAAAATAGTTCATAACTCACATGGCAGTTATATGTGTTAAGACACATTGCTAGAATTTCTAAAAGGGGGATTATTAGGCTAGATTAAAGCATGCACATTTTGAAGGCTTTCATTCTTCTGTCTCTCCCTCCAATCCTCCCTACTTCTTTCCCTCCCTCCTTCCCTTCCTCCCTTCCTCCCTCTCTCCTTCCTTCCCTCCTCCCTCACTCCTTCTATCCCTCCCTCTTTCCTTCCTTCCCTCTTTCCCTCCCTCCATGCGTCCTTCTTCCCTCCCTCCCTTCCTTCCTTCCCTCCTTCCTCACTTCCTTCCCTTCTCCCTCCCCACCCCCACCCCTCTCTTCCTATAGCACCTCATCCAGGTTCCTTAAGCATTAGCTGTGCCTACAGAATTGTCTTTCCCCAGGTATTCCTGCCACTGAATAATCTAGATACTGGAGGTAGAAGTGGAGGCCTCACTGGCAGAGCAAAGTTATCCAGTACTCTTGAATAACTGGTGCCTGCTTCTCTGCCAGCCTCCTGCCTATCCTACGTCCCAGAGAAAGGAACCGTTGGTGCCAGTGGAGACCTTGCCCCACTCTCTCATCTCGCTCTTGGGCTCATTGGAGAAGGGAAGATGTGGTCTCCAAAGAGTGGCTGGGCTGACGCTAAATACGTAAGACTTTTATCTGACAACTTCCATCTTCAGTAATTTCCCTGGGCTGCCCACTGGGTGGACTTGTATGCTTTGGGTCACTTCATCCTCTCAATAGCCCAATGAGGGGGACACTGCTAGTCTTACTTTTAGATGAGACAACTAAGCCTTAGCAGTCAGACTAAGCAAGACTGTTAACTAGCTTCCGTACTTAATTAACAGCCTTCAGGATTGAGCGATCATCTGGCTGAAAAGGTACAACCCAGTAATTTACTGTGTGCTTACCACACTTTCTGTGCCTCCCGGAGGGCTCACTCACACACTGTCACAAGTGTATCTAGGAGCTGGTTTCACAGGTGCAGGTGCGTCTCATGGCACTCACGATGTGGCCTCTGGAAAGCAGGTTTCATTTCTCCTCAAGCTCCCACCCTGCTGGCTAATCAGAAAGCTTGGTTTTGATATCACTTTCATGTTTTCTTCATCCATCTTTGAGTTCCATCAGAGCAGCCCAAAGCATCATTTAAAGTCTCATCTTTGTGCAATTGCTGGGAGGTCCCCTAACAGCAGGTAAAAGGGGAAGAGGCCCGAGAAAGAGAAAAAACTAAGGAAATAATACCGTTTCCAGATCCCCTTACTCTCATGCAGTTTCAGCCTGATTATTTCCCTGGGGACAGTGTTTCCCCAGCAACCTTCACATGACAAGCAGCCTGACCTTTCTTAAAAAGTAAATCCAAGTATGTTCCAGTTAAAACTTGGAATGCTTCCCCTTATCCTAAGGATAAAAGGCAAACTTGAAGTGGCTTACAGGAGTCTTGTTTTTCATGCTGTCCTCTGATAATCCTGCCTACATTACAGAAACTGGAGGTTGTTTGCAGCAGCAGCATTCTAGGTACTGGGCGGAGGACCTGGCCCAAATTTGTCCTCCTGATATGACTCACTCATATCTGTATATCTAAAAAGATGTCTCTGAAGCTTCTCTGTCTGCTTCTCTGGTTCTTTTTTCTCCCTCCCATGTTTCTCGAGCCACTCCTTGGTGTTCTCCTAGCCTCTCATGTGGTTATTTTCCACCACACCCTGCCCACTTTCTACATCCTCAAGCACTCAACATACTCAATATTACTCTGACAGCCCCTGAGCTTGTCTGTCTCCATTTTTCCTACCCCTAGTCCCAGTCCAACACTCAGTACAGAATCTGGCATGTAACACGGCCTCAAATCTGCTCACACAATTGACACAGTACATGGGGCTGGCTTTCTCCTACCTTAGCGTCCCTCTTTTTCCTTCCCCAGAGGGACCTGAACTTAGTGACTCTCCTTTTATTTCTTGGGAACATTATTCCCCAGTTTCCCCCCAGGGCTCTGTTTCCATCCATTAGAGGGGATTCCATAATCCACTCTTCCCTGGTGCTCACCCACGTGCCATGAAAACACTGCTTGGAGGTTTCACCAGTGTTTGGATAAAGCGTGAATGAGGGTGGAGGACTGTAGGACAGGCTCTGGAGGCAGGGGAGTATGGCCAGGCGGGAGCCCAGCCTCAGCACAGCACTGGTGTGTAGGCAGGTGTCAGGATGCCGCAATAATAACAGGGAATCACTAAGGTTGACGATGAATACAATCAACCTGGAAACCAAAACTGAGAGCTGGTTCTATAGATAATAAAGGCCCTGATTTAAGACAACAATTTTTTTTTTTTTTTTTGAGACAGGGCCTCAAGCTGTCCCCCTGGTAGAGTGCCATGGCATCTCAGCTCACAGCAACCTCCAACTCCTGGGCTCAAGCGAGTCTCCTGCCTCCGCCTCCCAAGTAGCTGGGACCACAGGCGCCCGCCACAACGCCCGGCTATTTTTTGGTTGCAGCCGTCATTGTTGTTTGGCGGGTCCGGGCTGGGGATTCGAACCCGCCACCCTAGGTGTACGTGGCTGGCGTCTTAGCCGGTTGAGCTATAGGCGCCGAGCCAAGACAACAATTATTTGAAAAATAAGTCTGCTTTGAAAATAAAGAACAGAACCATGGAATAGACCAGAGAACATAAATAAAGCCAATGCCTATAAGGTCTAATTTTTTACAAGCTGGATCTTGGGCTTAAAGATATTCCATATAAAGTTAGAAATAGGAAGTTAAGTCATTTGATACCCATTTTCATATTTTTAATCATTCTACAGGTTCTGCAAGCCCATGGACTGAAACCAGTTGTTTTGAAGCCAAAAGAGGTAAGGAGAGATTCAAGGAAAATTTGTTTAATAAGTTTTTACTTATACACTATTTCCAGTCTTAATGTCATTCTCACTGGTTTCTTAAACCCAGCCTGCATGTTTGTTGAAATTTGGTCGCTGTGGAAAGGACTCTTTCATCAGCAGTTAAAAGATTCTGCATGCCACCAATGCATGGGTTCTTTTGGAACTTAAACTTCAAGTCGAGTTCTCTAAGGATCTCTAAGAAATAGATACTTTCAGCCAAGATCTTATAGGGTACTCTAAGCCAGCAGTTCTCAACCTGTGGGTCGCAACCCCTTTGGACTGTATTAAAGGTTCGCGGCATTAGAAAGGTTGAGAACCACTACTCTAAGCTAAGAGTCTTGGTCTATAATTGTTTCAGGATGTCTTGTCTAAAACAGTAAGAAGTCTAAGAAGAAATGCAATGTAATAAAGAGCTAAAGATTTTATGTGCAGTCTGCATTCCAAAGCTACATTGCTGGCTTGGAAATGGGGATACTCAACAGTTCTTCCATCTGCCAGATTCATGCTAATAAGTTCACTTATGATGGCACTTCTTCCTAAAGGGCTTAAATAAACATTACTGCCCTGTACTTTAGAATACATAGGTCAGCTGATTGGCTAATTTTTCTCTTATGAAAGCAGAAGATGTAAAATACACTGGTATGTAGGTTTGTTACAATAAATAGACCAGGAAACTTTCCTCTGTCTCCCCACAGGGTTTGGCACTCATCAACGGGACTCAGATGATCACCTCTCTGGGCTGCGAAGCTGTAGAGAGAGCCAGTGCCATTGCACGGCAAGCCGACATCGTGGCAGCCCTGACCCTCGAGGTTCTGAAGGGCACCACTAAAGCCTTTGATACTGGTCAGCCTGGTTCTTCCATTCAGTTGCTATTCATTCAGCCAGATCTGCTGGCACTGTTGTGTGAGGTCACATAGGAGTGGTGGCGATGTGTGATAGGGATGGAGAATACCCAACCACTTACAGCCTACTCAGCACACTGCAACTTCATCTGAGTTATGCCACACTTTATCCTTGAATTAATCATGGTTTATAGACTTCTGACTCTGACAGTTGAGTGACCTGCTACAGATTATCCAAGGATCTGAGTATGTCAAACTGTGTGTTATCTTAAGAATCTGTTTACAGGACTTTAGAACTGTGAGGTCAATTACCTTCCCCAATTTATCCTTGAAAAATTTCTATTTCATTGGTGAATATCACTGGGGTCACCTTCACAGTACTTCCCTTGGGAAGCTATGCATCAATGCTAACTCCTAGTCCACCCTTCAAACCAATTTTAGAGTTCTTTTTCTGGAATGGCCATCAGAGCTGTCCTTGTATAACTCACAACAATGAACAACACTAAGCAAGACATTGCCACACTTCAACATGAACACAGCCATGAGACACTGATATACCATGGTTATGAACCCTTACTGAGTTGTTTATACAGTGCTGCCAATGTAAATGTATGGCAACAAGTTCATGAACTTAATTTTCAGGCCTCATAAAATGAGAGCTCTGATGGCCATTCTAGAAAGAGTTCTGAAATTAGAAAGAGTTCTGAAAGTAGAAAGAGTCAAGTCTATAAGGAAAATTATGCTTTTGGAGTTAAATTTCTCATCTGAGCAGTGGTGAAGGACCCTGGGACTTTTTAGGGCTGTGTTAGCACCTTGGGCAGTCTTATACCATCCATGGTGATGCCGTCTAACATTGGAATTACTCAGACTCTTTTTCCTTCATCTATTCTAGACATTCATGCTGTTCGCCCTCATCCTGGGCAAATTGAAGTCGCTTTTCGATTTCGGTCACTCTTGGACTCAGATCACCATCCATCAGAAATAGCAGGTCAGGGCATGTTTATGTGGGCAAGTCATTTGGTTATGTGTTTTGTGGAAAGAATCGGTGTCATGTTCCCTTTCTCATTCCTCTACCTCTTCCACAGAAAGTCATAGGTTCTGTGATCGTGTTCAGGACGCATACACCTTGCGCTGTTGTCCCCAGGTAAAAACAAAAAAGCCAACAAAGTTTCTTTTCTTTCCCCAAATTCACAGTAAAAATTTAAAAAGAGGCCTGGCACAGTGGCTCATGCCTATAATCCTAGTATCTGAGAGGTCAAGACGGGCAGATTGCTTGAGTTCAGGAGACTACCCTGAGCAAGAATGAGATCCCATCTCTAGTAAAAACAGAATAGTGGTGCCTTTAAAGGAATCACATGTCATAGATGTCATTTTGCTTGTATTTTAGGTCCATGGTGTGGTGAATGATACAATAGCATTTGTGAAGAACATCATTACTACAGAACTAAACAGTGCAACAGATAATCCTGTATCTTTTGAATGTCTGCAAAACTGCAATTATAGATCTCTAGCTGGTAACTGTAGGATTGGCTGAAGTGACTGTTTCATATAGCATCTCAGTTCTGTCACTCAGTTTTATAGAGTAAGTTAATGAGTACCTGAGGCTCAGAGGTTGACATCTTTCTCCAGGTCTGGTAAGTGCAGAGGCTGGCTTATGAACTGACTCTAAGGTTCCAGGTTGGTTGGAACCTTAACATGCTATGCTTTCAAAATCAACCTATTAGGCTTGGTGCCTATAGCTCAGCAGCTAGGGTGCCAGCCATATACACCAGAGGTGGCAGGTTTGAATCCAGCCCAGGCCTGCCAAACAACAATGACAACTATAACCAAAAAGTAGCTGGGCATTGTGGCAGGTGCCTGTAATCCCAGCTACTTGGGAGACTGAGTCAAGAGAATCACTTAAAGCGCAAGAGTTAGAGGTTGCTGTGAGCTGTGACACCACAGCACTCTACCTAGGGCAACAGCTTTGAGACTCAAAAAAAAAAAAACCCATTAGAAATTAAAGGAGATATTTCCATTGGATGACGTGTTTCATGAAGATATTTACCAAAACCCACTGCTGAGGTCGTTGGTTGAAGGGTGAAGACCCACCTCACAAATGGGATTGCAGAGACCCTGGTAGATTGCCCTTTAATTACCCAGGCGTCTCTGGGTCTAGTGATGCCAGGATGTAGTAAAAACAGAAGTCAACCTTTTAACACCTAACCATAGCGGTAACCAGAGAGAGATAGCTTTCCCTATCTTGAGTTCTTATTTCTCACATAGACTTGACTCAAAGTGAGAATGCCTCCATTTCTCAGTAATGGAGCTCTTTTCTCCCTAAGGGTGAGAAGATAAAGGTCTACCACAGAGCTGTTTTTGCTATGGAATAGCCGGTGATGGCGTAGGTCCCCAGAAGTTGAGGGGATCAAGTTGGAAGTCACACTGGCAACGTCTTCATGGAGACATCATTGCCTTGGAAGACCAGCAGAGCCCTCAGGAATCCATTTTCCTATTCTGTGTTGAGTGCCAAATGAGCATCCTTGAAAGCAATTTGCAGCCTGGGTTAGAAAATGGTTACATGACCGCTGTGTCAGGATTTCTCAGGAGAGGTTTCAGTGCGTCTTTTCTGACAAACCTCCTTCAGGAGGTGTGTTTTATGTTCGCTCAGGTTACTTTACAGTTAAGTCAGACCCACATTAAATAACCACTAGGACCATGGGTCCCTCCACTCTCATACCATACCACCCTCCAAATAGAGTAGTTTTCATGAACTCTCTGCAGTCCTATCCTTGCACTGTAGGGGAAAGCTATCCATTCGACACTTATATAATTTAGATTTTAAAGAGTATCCTATAAAGTAAAAAAAAAAAAAATGTTTTAAATACTATTAGATTACTGGATATAAGGAGGGAATAATTTCCTACTAAGTTCGTCCCCTGTCACTTGCCCCAGGCAAGAATTTCAGCCCAAAGTCTTCAACTTTCTCAATTACACATTTAATTACTGATGCGTTTCCAGTAGCCTAATACTTGGCATTTCTGCAATACTGATGTTATCTGAAAGAATGTATTTCTCAATTTGCTATTACAGGCATAAGGCACCTGTCATAATGCTGGCTATTATGGGAGTTAAATTCTAATGGCTATAATCTAATAACCAACAAACAAATCTGGAGCAATTAGAGGACAATAAAACATGCTTACGTTCCAAGTTGGTGCAGGGCTCAATTGCTACAGGGGTTCAGAGAATAGGGAGGAGACCAAGGGCTGTGGCTGCAGGCTGGTTCAAGAGCAGGAACCAGGCCTAATAGTTACATTATACACACACAGTTATATATATAGGGGAAAGTAACCCCAAATTTGACTAATGTAATATATTTCTTGAAATATAGAAAATATTGAAATATATTTTTTAAAATATATTCTTTGAAATTTAGAATGTTTCTCACACACAGTGAGTTCCCAGTTTATGAGAAGCGAATAGCGTATAGCCCAGGGGACAAAAATTAGCTCTTGGAACCAGAAAGGAGGATCTGTCACTGCCTTTGCCGGGGTGCTTGCTGGATTGAAGTTGCCACCTACTTAACTGGATTTGGGAGGACCTATCAGCCACCTTCTGCTGTTGAACGCTGACACGGGATTACTGACTATAGAATTTGAAAATTGCCCTAGAATTGACTGTTCCAGACATTTTGGTGGTTGCCCATCAGCAGAGCTGCCCATTCCACAGATTCTCTCATGGAGCCCTGACTCACAGTGCCCATTGAAGAAATAGAATCTGCTTTCAAATAGGCATTCTGGTCTCTGTTCTTAGTTTCAGATTACAAACTTTGGCAGGGGGTGGGCAAGTGCTAACCACTGAATTAGTGCAGTAATGGTGCTTGAGAAGCTCATCTCGAGAAAACATCATCTCGTGCTCCATGCTTCTTTGGCCCACAGTCGAGTGTACATGATTCACCTTGAAGGTTTTTGTTTTTGTTTTGTTTTGCTTCTGTGCCTCTTTGGGTCAACGACTGCTGGTGAGAAGACTTGTCTCTTTTCTTCTACCCCTCATTTGTACAAGGACTGCCACTTCGGTGTTACAAAGAAGGAGGGTGGGAAGGAGCTGTGGTTGAAGTGATCAGCACGTGTTATACTCATGCCTTAACCTGTTTTGAAAGATGGTCTTTGCCAGTAGAGGAGAGACAATTTCCGGAGGAAACTTCCATGGTGAATATCCAGCCAAAGTAAGCTTTTCAGAATTGCTCTTGACCCTGAGAGCATATTCTAATACAGCCTATTAGAATATGTCTCCTGAACTGAGACACTCTTTCAGGCCCTGGATTATTTAGCCATTGGTGTCCATGAACTTGCTGCCATTAGCGAAAGAAGAATTGAAAGGCTCTGTAACCCCTCCCTCAGTGAGCTGCCAGCCTTCCTGGTGGCTGAAGGAGGTCTGAACTCTGGATTCATGATTGCCCACTGCACAGCTGCAGCCCTCGGTAAGGACACTGCCCTTTTCCCGGAGCACAAGTCTGTCCAAGGGCCTTTCTGTTTTACTTGAAAGTATCAAATTTTGTCTTTGAATGAACCCTAAAGTTTCACCACTTCTATTTGCATCCTACCTCTCTCAATACCAATGTAGCAGGTTGGACCTTTTCACTTTTTAGAAGAAAAGTTAAAAACCTAAATAATGTTATACTGAAACACAATAATACAATAATGCTGCGAAAAGCAATTTGACATTCCATCTGAATGTCATCTCAATAGCTTTTTCCCAAATCTCAACCTCAAGACTATTGGAAGGTGAAGCCTGAACCCATCAGAATCATTAAACTTTGGATACATTCCATTAGTTACATCACTCACTAAAAACATAAGGACGTTATTGCAAAATACAAAAACGCTCATGAGATGCAAGATACCATCTCTGAAAATTGAGCTTCATTGTCGCTGATTTCTGCCACAGGGTAAGGGACAGATGAGTAACAACTCAGAGTAGTGCCTGGCATAAAGTAAGTGCTTAGTACCTCACTCATATCTGTGCACTTAACTGCCACGACCAGGCCATGCGGTAGGTGCTACTGTCCCCGGTTTATAGATGAACATCTTAGAAGTTAACTGACTTGCCCAATATTGCACGGTTAGTAAGAGATAGAGCAGCATTCAAACCCAGGCATTTTGGCACCCAGAGATAAGCTCTCACTCTAATTAATGGGGCTTCCGTTTTAAGCACTACTTAATCCTAAACGGAGGTTGCCAAAATTAACAAACAAAAACGCAGGATGCCCAATTAAATTTGAATTATTTGGGACTTACTTAGACTAATAGATTATTTGTTTGTGTGTATGTGTGATTTTTTTATAATTTATTTTTATTTCACATTAATGTGAGGGTACAAATTTTTAGGTTACATTGTTTTCACTTCCAGGGTAAAGTTCCATTTGTAAAAGAGCCCCTCACCCTCTGAGCGTATTATACACCCTCACAATGTGCACCTTAGGTGAGATCCCAGCTCCTGCCCTCCCTCCTTCTGCCAATCATCCTCCTCCTCCCCCTTTCCCCTCCACTTCCCTCTAACCCTGAACCAGACTATATTAGTGTTTAATTGTTCTTATGAGCATGTAATTGTTTATATATTGATTTCATATTAGTATGGAGTACATTGGATGTTTATTTTTCCATTCTTGCAATACTTTACTAAGAAGAATCTATTTCAACTCTATCCAGGTAAATGTAAAATATTTTAGTCTCCATCTTTTTTTTTTTTTTTTTTTTTGAGACAGAGTCTCAAGCTGTCACCCTGGTAGAGTGCTATGGTGTCACAGCTGACAGCAACCTCGAACTCTTGGGCTTAAGCAATTCTCTTGCCTTAGCCTCCCAAGTAGCTGGGATGACAGGTGCCCCCCACAATGCCCAGCTATTTTTGTTGTTGTTGTTGTTGTTGTTGTTGCAGTTGTCATTGTTGTTTAGCAGGCCCGGGTTGGGTTCACACAGGCCAGCCTTGGTGTATGTGGCCAATGCCCTACCCACTGAGCTACAAGCACCACCCCTCCATCTTTTTAAATGGCTGAATAGTATTCTATGGTATACATATACCACAATTTGTTGATCCATTCAAGATTATTTGTTTTTTATCTGAAATCCAAATTGAACTGGGCATCCTGTGCTTTATCTAACAACTCTACCCCAAAAGTTGGGCTAACATAGTGGTTCATTAAGTGCATAGAAGCTGTATCTCCCATCCACTAACCCCAGAGGGTTAAATGAATTAATGCTTACAAAGCCTGGCACATCCCAAGTACTAAATTAATACTCATTGCTATTAATATTACTCCTAGTCCCTCCCCACCTAAGTCTTGAATTAAAACTCAATACAGATAACAGAGTCCAAATTCACCTCATCTGACCCAGTGTCTTCTGTTTCAATGGTCCCCAACCTTTTTGGCACCAGGGACCGGTTTCATGGAAGACGATTCTTCCCCAGACTGGGGGGGGGGGTACACGGGGTGGCGCTCTATGGACCGGCAGTTGGGGACTCAGTTCCATTTGATCACTTGCTTGCTTATTAAAACACCCCTTTAACAGGCCAGGACTTTTCACAGTAACACGGAGATGAGGGGCGTGGTCATTAATCTCTAGAGGACACTGTGGCATTGGGAAGCCTCATTTGTGGTTAGCTGCCCCAGCTGCCTGCTGAGGTTGTTCAGCTCGATTTCATGGTGATGAAAACAGTGTTCTCCTTTTTTGGGGCACTGGTAAGATTTCTTTTTGCACACACCTCACCGCAGGTATTCATAGAGCTCACTGTAGAGTGCAAGGACTTGGGACTTACAGTGCTGAAACCCGGAAAGTCCTGGGCAAACCAAGGCCAGCTCATCACCCTAGTTAGTTAGTTTATTTGTTTTTGAGACAGAGTCTCACTCTGTCACCCTAGGTAAAGTTCCCTGGTGTCATAGCTCACAGAAACCTCAAACTCTTGGACTCAAGCAATCCTTTTGCTTCAGCCTCCCAAGTCGCTGAGAGTACAGGTGCCCACCACAATGCCTGGCTAGTTTTTTCTATTTTTAGTAGAGACAGAATCTCAATCTTGCTCAGGCTGGCTCAAATTCCTCACCTCAAGCAATGCACCTGCCTGAGCCTCCCAGAGTATTAGGATTATAGGTGTGAGCTACACGCCTGGCCCACATCACCCTAGGTTAAAACTAGATATCTCAGAATAGGATCTCATGTAGCATAGAAAACAGGGTGGTGCCTGTGGCTCAAAGGAGTAGGGTGCCAGCCCCATATGCCAGAGGTGGCAGGTTCAAACCCAGCCCAGGCCAAAAACTGCAAAAAAAAAAAAAAAAGAAAAGAAAACAACTGATGTTTCACTCATGGTCACTCTCAAAGTCAAAAGAAAAGAGAAAAGACTGAGTTTGACCTTTCCTGACTTCTAAGCAGGGTACTTAAGTGCACTCCTCACAGTAACAATACAGCCACTGGCCATCCCTTGGGAGTTTGTTAGGGCAGCACTCAGGCCCCACCCCAAGATTGCTGTGTAACAAGATCCCTGTTTCATCTGCACAATAAAGTTTGAGAGTCCCCAAATCTAGGCCATCCTAAAATTTCCCCCACCTCCCAGAGATATTTCCGGCAAACATCAAGACATTTTAAACCCCAAACATTCACTTATATCATTACTGAACAATCTGAACTGTTAAATCTTCTTTCCCAGGATCTGTGGGTCCAGCCTCAAACTCCAGATGCCACACCTCAGTTCTGATCCCACCTTTTCTGGTAACACGACCCAGTCAAATTACTCTCAAGTACCTGAAAATGACCATCAAATCTTTTTACACCTATTCTCCCTGACATGCTCAAGGCTTCCAAGGTTTTCAACTTGACCTTGTTATTCCAGTTCCCAGCTCCTGTGTCCCCATCTTATCTCAGAACTCACTATAGTTTTAGAGTCCTTCTCACTTTGGGGGAGGGAGGGAAATAAGACCCGCTTCCTTTTCCCAAAGCACCTTTGGAGCATCTGGTGTTTGGGTAATGGCCCCGGTCTTCTGGATAGGGCCCTCCATGTGCAGAGCACTTTGAGGAAGCCACGTGTCACTCTGGCAGCAACTCTTATGAAGGGCACTTCTTAACTGCGCTTGTCTCTTGCAGTTTCTGAAAGCAAGGCTCTGTGCCACCCCTCGTCTGTTGACTCTCTCTCCACCAGCGCGGCCACGGAGGACCATGTCTCCATGGGAGGATGGGCAGCGAGGAAGGCCCTCAGGGTCATCGAGCACACAGAACAAGGCAAGTCACTCCTCTGGGATGGCAGGCCTCACTGACAGGCTACCATGCTCATGGTTCTCAAAGTGGGGACTCCCCCTGGCAGCGTCACCATCACTTGGGTGCTTGTTAGAAATGCAGATTCTCAGGCCGCCTCCCAGATCTGCTGGCTCAGAACTCCAGGAGAGAAGGGAGCAGCCAGTGTTTAACAAGGCTCCAGCTGCTTCCGTAACAATTAAGAACCACGGAGCTGTGCAGAGCTAAGCCTGCTCCTCAGCTGGCTTTCTTTTTTCTTCTTTTTCTTTTTTTTTTTCTAATGAGACATTTCTTTTCTTTTCTTTTTTTTTTTGTAAGGAGACTTTTAAAAAATATTCACAAGTGGAGACCATAGTACCATGAACCCTCCCAGAATGCACCAGGATTTAACAGCAGTTTGTTTCATTTCTTTTTTTTTACTTTTTGCAGATTATTTTTGAGCAAGTCCCCATCTTACTTTATTTCTACATAGTTTCTCTCTTAAATGTGAATGCTCTCTGATCTAATTTCTGATGTCATTATCATAGCCAACAAAATCCAACACTGAGTCCTGGTACCACACTGCCAAACACATATTCAAATTTTCCCTGTTATCTCAACGTCTTTATGGTGGGTTTCTTCAAATCAGGATCCAAGGCCCATGTTTTAAATTTGGTTAACGTGGTGTTAAGCTTCTTTTCATTTAGAACAGTTTCCTCATCTCTTGTTTCTTCTTTATGCCATTGACTGGTTGAAAATCAGGTTAGCTTTCCTGCAGAAAGACTGACCTTCTGGATTTACCTGTTAGCGTCTTCGTCATGTCACTTTGAACTTGTCCTTTGTCCTGAGCATTTCTAGTACGTTGCAATTGACCCTAAAGACTTGGTAGGATTTTGGTCCAACCTTGCTGGCAAAGATACTTCATAAGAAGTGCTATGTTAGGCCGACCCTGTCTGCCTTCTTACTTGCTCTTTGTTTTTTATTTATTTATTTTTAAGAAAGAGAAATTGTCTGCCTTTAGTATTATTCTCTAAGTGCCTAAGTTTGTGTAACAGTATTGGAATTAGTTGGCTGACAAAAAGCACATCACTGTTTTAAGGTAAGTGTGAGAGTTGAATACAGACTGTCCCTGGGCTACAGATGACCTGATTTACAGCGTTCCATACTTATGAATGGGCTCCAGATACTCTCAATAGGGATCGTTTAATTAAGTAATTCAATGAATAATTCTGGAGCTAGTTTCTTCTCTGCATGTAAACAAACCCAAGTGGCCAAACTAGTTTGTTGGTGCATCAATCTTTACACTAATAGCTAGTCTCATAGATGGAGAAGGAGCCAATAGAAACATAAGAACAAAAAACATCCAAAGATCCAGAACTGGGTGACACCTGTAGCTCAGTTGTCAGGGCACCAGGGGTGATGGGTTGGAACCCAGCCCGGGCCTGCTAAACAATAATGACAACTGCAACTGGGCATTCTGGTGGGTGCCCGTAGTCCCAGCTACTGGGAGGCTGAGGCAAGAGAGTGGCTTGAGCCCAAGAGTTTGAGGTTGCTGTGAGCTGTGATGCCACAGCACTCTACCCAGAGTGAAAGCTTGAGACTGTCTAAAAAAAGATTCAGAACTAAGAAAATTTACAACAGGAGAATTAGCCGAAGCCTTTTGTCTCCCTGGAGCAGGCTTTGCTAAGCTTAAGCGGCAAGACTCTAACGTTGAGTGGTTCACAAAGGTTTCCCAGGTAGTTAGTGAGAACATCAGCTGCTACAAGGCCAAACTCTTGGGCTCAAGCGATCCTCTTGCCTTGGCCTCCCGAGTAGCTGGGACTATAGGCACCTGCCACAACACCCAGCTGTTTTTAGAGACAGGGTCTTGCTCTTGCTTGGGCTGGTCTTGAACCTGTGAGCTCAGGCAATCCACCTGCCTCGGCTTCCCAGAGTGCCAGGATTACAGGCATGAACCACCGCACCCAGCCTCTATGTTCATCTTTTGAGGAACTTCCAGATTGTTTTCCAAAGTGGCTTCACCATGTTATGATCCCACCTGCAGTGTTTGGGTAGTGCAATTTCTCCACATCCTCACCAGCACTTGTTATTATCTTCCCCCGAGGTGCAATGTTAATGTTTGCTCTCCACGTGGTTGCCCCATTGAACACGTTGCTCTGACCCAAACCTTAGAGTCCCCTTTATCTGTCTGCACATCATCATCTATCCTGTTCATCAGCAAATCAACCCCTACCTTCAAAACGCCAGGTCAACCCTCTGCCATCTCCTTCTGATGAGTCCTCTTATTTTCCTGGTTCTCTACAGATACCACACAATTGACCAGGGTAAGCTTCTCAAAGCATGATTAGGCCACACCAGGCCCCTGTGTCATGAAGATTTGCCAGTTATATCCTATTGCTGAAAACAAAATCCACCTCCCCCTACTAAAACCTGGGAAGCCCTATCAGGGTTTTCCAATCTGCAGTCCATGGGCTGCATACAGATTATTTGAGGACTGTTTTTTTCTTTTTTTTTCCTGTTCATTAGCTTTTGTTAGTGGTTGTGTATTTAATGTGTGGCCCTAGACAACTCTCCTTCCAATGTGCACAGAAAAGAGAAAAGGTTGGACACCTTGCATCTGGCTTCTGCCTCTTGCTGTAACCTGTCTCCATCCCAGTCTCAATCCTGGAACCACAGTGTTGTTCTTGTACCTGCCAGCAGTGCATCCCTTCCATGGTGCCTGGCTGGACCCTCTGTCTGCAGCACTGTCCCCAAGGACATCATGTGGTTCCCTCCTCACTCTGTGCACATAACTGACCAGATTTCCTCTCAAATGCCTCTTTTGTAAAACAGCAACCATAATTCTTTCTCCTTTTCGTTTTTTTTCTAACAGCACTAGGACCTCAGATATACTTAGCCTGGTTTGTCTTCCCAGGAAGACTCAGATATTTTAAGTGTATTTTAAAAAAAAACTAAGGGGGCATTGAAGGTGGTTATTAGGCCATGGAATATCAGCTTATTTCAAAATAGATGAAACCCATATAAAAAATATCTAACAAGGGTGGCGCCTGTGGCTCAGTGGGTAGGGCGCTGGCCCCATATACCAAGAGTGGCAGGTTCAAACCTGGCCCCAGCCAAACTGCAACAAAAAAAAATCGCAACAACAAATACAGGTGTTGTGGTGGGCACCTATAGTCTCAGCTACTCAGGAGGCTAAGGCAAGAGAATCACCTAAACCCAGGAGTTGGAGGTTGCTGTGAGCTGTGACACCACAGCGCTCTATAGAGGGCAATAAAGTGAGACTCCGTCTCTACCAAAAAAAAAAAAGAAAAGAAAAAATATCTAACTAAATCAAGATACATTAAACACCTTGAATTTGTAACAATGGCATGCCTGTTAATGGCTTCAGGGAGAATTGCTGGTTATGGATAGCAGCAAATATTTACTTCTCAGGGTTTTTTTTCTTTTTCTGTCTTTGACCCTTCTTCTGAGGTAACATTATAATCATTCACACTGACTGAATACTGACTACCTGCATTCAGTCTTTTGATTCGTTTAATCTGCAAAATAACCATAGAAGGGATACACTGTTACCTCATTTTACAGATCAGGAAACCAAGGCAGGGGTTAAGTAATGTGCTCAAAGTTATACAACAAGAAAATGCTGAGACTTGGTCCAAGTCCACTGTCTTGACTACTCCCTCTGCTGCCATATTGATTACAAGAAGGTGAATTGGCATTTTTATGGTTTCTCAGACTTCTGCTTCAGGATTGTTTTATATGTCTTCCTGGGGAAGTTATCTCAAATGAAATCACTGTGACTGGACCATACACTATTTTAGTAAGATCTGTGTTATACCTGTGAAGAGAGGGATGAGCAATAAAGTAATTGATTTGGCAATAAAATAGGATATGTATACCAGTCATCTTGTGACTTTTGATGAAAAATACCTCTTTCCCCCCACAAACTCTCCACTTCAACTTCTTTGATCAAGATGGATGACCACTGTTTCATATTTCCACCTTCCCGTAAATTTCAAGTTGCTTTTCATTTCACTGTTTCCTTTGGCTTGAAATACCTGATACATAGACCTTCAAAGATTTAAAGGGAGTCGGTGAATGAGCAAGTGAGTCCTTAATTGCCTTGGAACTAAATTTTATAATATCCATTTCAAGCCTTCAAATTTAAAGGCTCTCCAAATGTAATTCTAGAAATCAGTATCTTGCCAACTTGATGTTTCTTGAAGAAACACTCTTTATACGGTCTTTCTTAGCTAAGATGCTTATTAAATGTACCCTACCTTGTAATAAACTTTGAATATTGAAGCCTACATTTCTGTACATTTTATACGGTCTGGATTCTGTAGAATATTTTATGGAGGTACAATTCAAGATTAAAGTACTTTGGGTTCTATTATTTTGCCAAGAAAATATTTCAGAAGCTTAAAGTCGGTCAGACTATTTAAGTAGCTGATCCAAATAGAGTATTAAGAACATTTGACTTCTCGTCTTTAAATTACGAAGCACATTACAAACTCGGTGAGTACAGACAGGCTGCCGCAGGAGAGGATGACATTATGTAAGCCATGGTGGGCTTGGGAGTGACTTCACAGCCTCTGGTCCTGTATCATCTCTACATGATCCATACAGAACTGAAAACTGTGAGAAGTAAAGCATGTTGATGAAATGCACACACTTGCTCCATAGATCTAGGGCTCAAGACCAGGACTGGCCTTCTTTCTAACTTCCTTCCCTACCCCCAGGACCCAAACCTGGCCAACAAGCCTTGGTTAGAGGCTGTGAATGAAGAAATGACATATTTTGCTTGTATGAACTAATGAGCTTTCTGGGATAGGTTTGGTGGTTCGGTACCTATTCAGGTAAATGTCTCATTTCTCCTCTTTTCAGTGTAAAAGATACAAAGGTCTAGAAAAGTGGGTTTAAATTGGTAACTGAATACCAAGGCAGTTTCATTCTACTAGGAGACAGAGAACCAACCCCCTGTTAGTGGGCGGGCTGTGGCTGCCAACTTCATGCTTGCGGCGGGAAGTCAGACTTTCCTCTGCCACCCTCTGGAATTTCTCATTTCAGTGCTGGCCATAGAGCTTCTTGCAGCCTGCCAGGGCATAGAGTTTCTACGCCCCCTGAGGACGACCACTCCGCTGGAGAAGGTCTATGACCTGGTGCGCTCTGTTGTCAGGTAAGGTCAAACAGGGCCCCAGGAGTTACACCATTCAGAACTGTGAACCTTGGCGGCGCTTACTGTTTGGCTGACGGGGGGATGTTCTCTTTCTCAGGCCTTGGATAAAAGATCGCTTCATGGCCCCAGATATCGAGGCAGCCCACAGGCTGCTCCTGGAGCAGAAGGCAAGATGGGGGGCTGATGGCTGAGTTTCTGATCGTTATGGGAAAGCAAAGTGGGAGTGGGGAGTGGATTAACTGTCTTACTCCACTGTTTCCTGGCTGTTTCTCAGAAGCGAACAAAAAGGTACGTAGGCAACTTGAAGGGCTGCTAGGAAGCCATCTGAAAGCCCATCAGTGCCCCCCTGTTGGACCCAAATACTGAATTTCTAAGGATAAGAAGCTGAAATGAATTTTAAATGAAGTTTGGGGACAATATTCGTGGGGAGTAAATGAGATGGAAGGTTCATGGGCCCTTCTGTGGAGATAGTCTCTTTCATTCATAAGTGCTTTCTCTTCTGAGTGATGCTGCCACAACTACCACCGGGTGCAATGGCTGCATAGACCTGGAGAGAAAACGAAGTCCCAGGGGTTTACTGCAGAGGTCTGAGCCTGTCTGGTGCTCTGCTGAGATTCGGGTTTTTCTTTCCTGCTTATTTCCCAGTGACACTGGCCAGGGTCTCAGCTGATAGGTACAGATGCTGAGTGTGCTGAGACATCTTTCTGATATATAATAGTTTCTAAAGTGCTTTAGATCTTGTGAATAATATGTGAGTGCCTACATTCCCTAGAATCATATGCTTTTCTCCAGAAATGGTTGCTCTACTCCTGAATGATTTTTCCCTTTGATCTTCACATCTGTCATTTCTGGGTTTTTTTTTTCTTTCTTTGAGACAGAGCCTTACTGTGCCGCCCTCAGTAGAGTGCTGTGGCATCACAGCTCACAGCAACCTCAAACTCTTGGGCTTAAGTGATTCTCTTGCCTCAGCCTCCCACTACCTGGGACTACAGGTGCCCACCACGACACCTAGCTATTTTTTGTTGCAGTTGTCATTGTTGCTTAGCAGGCCTGGGCCGTGTTCAAACCCACCAGCCTCGGTGTACGTGGCTGGCACCATAACCACTGGTCTACAGGCACTGAGCCCACATCTGTCATTTCTAATTGTGCCCTGCATCCTTTGAAGGAAAGCTGCTTGCCTGCTGCCAACTGTAGTGCTAGAACGGAGCTGTGTGAGAAGTTAGCTTTTAAGAGAATGCATTGTCTGAGGTCACACAAAAGCATAGGAAAGGCTTCTTGGCTGTCAGTGGCAATCAGAAAAAAAAGCAGCTATCAACCCAAAGCAGGGCCTTGATTTGAGTAGATGTTTAGCTTAGAAAAGGAGTTGGTGGGTGGAGGTGAAAACTCCACAAGGATCTGACACGGTGCTACTCAGACTTGAATGTACCTATCCAACTCTGGGGCTTCTGTTAAAATGCAGATTCAGATTCAGGAGGTCCAGAGCGAAGGCTGAGATTCTGATTAGTCCCAGATATGCTGGGGCACAGGCCACACTTTGAGCAGCAAGGATCAAAGGAAGGGCATGAAATAGAGCGACAGGAAATTCAATTAACTGCCTTTTATCATTCCAGGGTTGCTTTAGAAAACAGGGTCCTATCAGACCCTTGAGCAATTATCCTTAACTCTGTGCACATGGAATTTTCTAGGTTTTGTTTGTTATTGGCCTATGTGCTTGCTTGTTTCACTTTGGAAAAATAAGTAGCTTAAAACCTTCAGGGTAACTTCAGAAAAGTTTCGGACTTTGTAAAATCAAAGCCTCAAATGCAACCAAAGACTGATTGGCCAAGGTCATGTGTTAAACGCCGTGGCTTAAAATAAAACCAATCACACAGCCACCCTGCGTCTAGTCAGATGGGAGGGTGTTTTGACTGTGGATGAAGCAGGTGTTTAATAGCCCGTGGAAATGGCATCAATATTTCAACTTTGTCTTGTCTTCGCTCCTCAGGTTTGGGAAGTAGCTGCACCGTACATTGACAAATACAAAATGGAACATATTCCAGAATCAAGACCTGTTTCTCCCACAGCCTTTTCACTGGAATCTCTGCACAGGAAATCCAGCAAAATTGCAGAGTCTGAGGACCTTTAATGGGCTTTGTCATGGATTAGCAGCTTGGGTGGCGTTTAGTGTAGCACACAGCAGTATTGTGCTGAAGAATAGGCCTGAGAACTTTCCTAAGTAGGTCAATCCATCATATAACTCAGTTCTTCCCAAACCTACTTTGGTTAAGCTGGTGGCTTAGTAGCGGAGGTACTGAATTTGGCATGGTGTTCCTGTTGCCGGGGTCTGAGACACACTAGGTGTTTTCAGATTATAGGCATTTTCTTTCTTAACGATATCACTTTTAGGGGTGGGAAGACAACTACACAGGTATAGATGGATCTGTTTTTTACTCTTAGCGTGAGATAAACTCAGAGCTGGGAACAGATTGGTAGCATTCTTTTCTAAAAACATTAGACTTTTGTAAATCTTTTTGTTAATGTTTTGTTGTTTGCTTTGGCAAGCTCTCTACCCGTTGACTTTCTTGGGCTGATTGTACTACGCCACGATATGACACATGTCCCTTAATACGCCTTCATAAATACTCATTTAAATCACAAGTTGTCTTCAAGCTACTCCTCTATTAATTGAATCCTAGTCAAAATTAGTCAATAGGTCTTAAGAAATTAAATATGGAGGTGTTTAAAACCAACAAGAGGTTTTGTGTGAAAAGAAGGAGTGAATATGAAGATTGCTACTTGGGTGGCTCCTGTTGAACTATGTATTTCATACTTACCAAATATCACCACCCTAGCCCACAATGCTTAATTTAATCATATGTTTACATTGGCATTTGAGGTCATTGTTGGGTTTTTTTTTAGACACAGAGTTTTATTTTGTCGCCCTCAGTAGAGTGCCATGGCGTCACAACTCACAGCAACCTCCAGCTCTTGGGCTTAGGTGATTCTCTTGCCTCAGCCTCAGAGTAGCTGGGACTACAGGCACCTGCCACAACGCTCAGCTATTTTTTTGTTGCAGTTTGGCCAGGGCCAGATTCGAACCCACCACCCTTGGTATATGGGGCCAGCACCCTACTTAGTGAGCCATGGCACCGCCCAGAGGTCATTGTTTTCACTTCCTGTGTGTTAGTACCCTAGTCACATTCTCATAGTAACCCTGCCTAAGAAACCTCATTTCACAGATAAGGCATCTCTGGGGTTGACCAACCTCCTCTCTCTGATGTAATCATTAAAATGAGCCCTATTGACAAAGGTCAGAAGGGACCCCTGGATGTATTACCCAATCTGTTTCCCTCCCCCTTGACCAAGAAGATAAAAGAGCTCTGGGAAAGCTTAAGCGTAACTGTCCAGGTGAAGGATGGGTCAAATGACCTTTTGGCCTCCCAAACCTATGATCTGTGACATTGCACCTATCTGTGCAAAATGCAAACGTGTGCAAGGCACTCCAAACACAAGGGTCTGAAACCACAGTTCCAAAAACAGCAGGAGGTGGAGATAAGGACAGATGCACCTGCCAGCTCTCCTACCTCTGTGCAGTCTAAAATGGCCCAATAGTGTATTTCACAATAGAATTCTCACTCTATTCATGGGAAAGGTGAAGACCAAAGTGAAAACTGCTGCCTACAGCAATTCAGGGAGCAAAATATGTGGGGGTGCTACTTGGTGCAATTCTTTGCTGAAATGTGGATATACACAAGTGAAGTTGATTCCTCCTCATCCTTAAGCTGCTTCTGAGCCAGTAAACCCCAGCAGGAGTCTGGTGGCTTTTTACTCTGGCATGGGGAGTGCTGGGTTTCCACTCACCCCTGCAGCCCTCTAGGCCACAATGATCCTTTTTTTCTTTTCTTTTTTTGCAGTTTTTGGCCAGGGTTAGGTTTGAACCCGCCACCTCCAGCATATGGGGCCTGCGCCCTACTCCTTTGAGCCACAGGTGCCTCCCCACAATGATCCTTTTTATATAGCTCTGTTAATAACTCACATCACTGGGGCGGTGCCTGTGGCTCAAGGAGTAAGTTGCCAGCCCCATATGCCGGAGGTGACGGGTTCAAACCCAGCCCCAGCCAAAAACCGGAAAAAAGGAAAAAAAAAAAACTCAGGGAATTGCAAGGGAAATAGGGAATAAACCGTCTTAGTTGCCTTATGTTGGTGCTTTAGTCTGAGGTTTTTGTGATAAAAGTTTAGCACCTCTTAGGGAAAGGCTATTCTAATGGCAATTGATTGCGTTTCTGAAAGAGTCAGTCAACAGATGTTAACACTGTTTGGAGAATGTGACTGCCCCAGTAACTTTCTTTTTTCCCAGTGAGTAACAGCAAGAGTCAGAGGTTTCAAGATTCCTCCCCCTCCTTGGGCTCACCTGGGCTTCTTCCCTTGTCTCAGGGCAGTCAGAATTTGGAGAATATTCTTCTGAGTGAAGATCACAAGAATAGAACAACGAGTACTACACACACTTAGCACTTAATCAAAACCAACAGGTTGATAACTACATGCTCACGTGATACAAAAATTGAATCAAATTCAAGTAAAGGGGAAGTGGATGGGAGGGGGTTGGGTAAACTCCCTCCCAACAGGCACCTTGCCTGCTTGGGTGTATTGCACACTGCTTGGGTGAAGGGCACAACTACAACTCAGATTTTATCTTTACAAAAGCAAACTATGTTACCTAGTCATATGTAACCCCATATTAATCTGAAATTAAAAACAAAAAGAGAGAGGACGGGCCAAGATGCAAGGGCTTTTCAAGCCCTGCTGTGTCCTGTTTGCTAATGTTCTATTGGCCAAAGCAAGTCATATGCCAAGCCTGGAATCAATTTGGGAGACTAACACCCAAAGGCATAGGTGTGTGTTTTGGCATGATCCGTGGGCTATTATCCAACAGCGTATCACACATGTAACATATGTAACATAACATGAACATTTTGAAAAAAGATATTTCATACTATTAATACTTTACACTTGTGCCTCACTTTGAAGTCTAGTCACTGGATTTATTTCTTTTTATTGAACTTTATGTTAATCTTATAAATAGCATGATCATTTTACCTTTTTGGTTGCTTTTGCTAAGGGTATTAATTTATTAACTGTCAACGTTGAAAAGATACCAAAAAAAAAAGCGGGGGGGGAACCTGAATTTCAGCTCAAAGGGTAGACTTGTTTACTTGGTCTCATTCCCTTTGCTTAGTGAATGGTTCAAGAAAAGGCTGGGATTGCAATTTGGGGCAATGGGACGGAGAAGAGATTTGTTGGAGGCTTCTGAGAAAGCGTTTTCTCTCCTGAGGGTCACAGGAAGCCATTTTTCCCACCTCTTGCCTGCACTGAGTGAGACAGCGCAGCGCCCCTGTGGCTGCTGACAGCCAGGAAGACCCAGGGAAGAGTTTAGCCTTGGGTAGATGTTTCCCTGGAGGAAAGCAGAGGGAAAGAAGCAATCATTGAGCTGTTGGATAAACCCATCCAGAAGCCTGCAAACTATATAACCTCTGAATTTCCAGTGGTGAGCAATACACGTCCCTGTTTTTTAAAGCCAATTTCAGTCGAGCGTTTTGATACTTGCAGCAGTTAGCCTTTTACCTGACAGCTATTGTGTTTGAGAGGTACTGCTGCATCGTGGCTGTGGTCTGTCAACTCTCACACGTGGTCCTTTATCAAGGACTTTCCATCTACCTGGGGACGTAAGATGGCCATTACTATACCAAACATGTGTCCCTGAGGAAGGCAGGACAACTGCAGTGCTCTTTGATCATCGAGGAGGCCTCCTGGAAGAGGTGACTGAACTGGGCTGTGCAGGATAGAAATGAGAGAGAAAAGGGAGAAAAAGGAGAAATGCAATCTAAATTTCAACATCAAAAGACCTCCATGCCAGGAAATCATTTCTACATTTGGTCCATTTCTGTTGTTAAACCATTGCTAACCAAGATGGCCCTGGTCCTTGCCCTCACAGCATATAGCCCAGGCAGTGAGCCAGAGGAGTGAATAGTAGCAACGTGTGGAAGTACAGTGGCAAGGCTGGGAAGTAATTAGGGGCCAGGTCATGGAGAGCGTGGTCATTTGTGCTGATGCTACAGTAGAGGAAGCAAGACTCTAGCTGCCCAGAACATCTAAAATCTCATCAAGAGGCTGGCATTGGCTTCAATCCTTATTGATTCCTGTTATAAAGACCAAGGTGTTCATGCTTTGGGGAAAATATAGCAGAAGTAAATAGTTTACAAAAGCAAACCCATATATTTCACTAGAGTGTTTTTCTTGTAAGAGAACAATCTCTTAACATCATCTGGCACTGATTCTACACTTTAATCTGCCTTCCTGCTCTAATGGGATTGTAAATTCCCTCAAGGCAGGGCCTAGGTTAAGACCAGAGTTTCAGAGATGGAGAAAAATCCAACCTTTACATTTTACAGATTGTTAAATAAGGAGCTCAAGATGAAGTCGAAGCCTAGGTTTGTGTCTCCTTCAGCATACCATGTGGTCCACCTTCCCTGTCCTTCACAGTATTTAACGCATATATCCTCAACTCAGTGGGGGATAATATTGCCAAAGGGGTGAAAACCGGTTTGAGGGAGACAAAAAAGAAAAAAAGAAATCTTACATGTTACAGCGGTTTGTGATCCTAACTGGCAAAATCTTGGTTCTTAGGGAGAAATTTAATTTTCTTCTCATTTTAAAATATTGAGAAAAGGAACACTGATATAGCCCAATGTGGAGCACAGAGGAAGGAGTTTCACAACCAACTGTGCTATTGTGAGCCTTCCACCTGGAGTCAAGTGTCTGATATCTCTCATTTTCTCCACCAAAGGACTTGGACTTGGACAAGGTATCTTGCCAGAATCCATTCGTACAACACCTATTTCAGTGCCTATTATGTGAAGTAAAGATGGATTAATCTTTCTATAACACCCTTGTCCCAGTCCTATCCTATTCAAAAACTTTCAGTGGCTTCCCCTGGCCTTAAGAATGAAGTTCCGGGCTCAGCACCTATAGCTCAAGCAGCTGAGGTGACAGCCACATACGCCAGAGCTGGTGGGTTTGAATCTAGCCCGGGCCTGCCAAACAACAATGACAACTACAACCAAAAAATAGTTGGGCATTGTAGTGGGTGCCTGTAGTCCCAGTTACTTGGGAGGCTGAGGCAAGAGAATCGCTTAAACCCAGGAATTGGAGGTTACTGTGAGCTGTGATATCATGGCTCTCTCCCCAGGGCAACAGCTTGAGGCTCTGTCTCAAAAAAAAAAAAAAAAAAAAGTTCCAATAATTGCCAGATGTTGAAAGCCCTGTGAAATCTTACATGACTTAATTTTATAGTCCTAGCTCCCCCATTGAATGCTCCACTCTAGAAGGACTCATCAACTGTCTTCTGAACACTTCACACCATTCCATTTTGGAGCTTCTCCCTCTCATCAAAATCCTTCCTGTTAGGGTGGGAATGTGTAGCACAGGCTGAGATAGAATTCTCAACACAAAGAAGTAAAAGTTTATTTGACTTTCCTCTGGAGAGAGGAGAAAGAAAGAAATGTCAGCATTGATTTTAAGGGGGTTGGGATTTTTAAGGAGGATAAAAAGAAAGAAAAAAGTGATTGCTGCCAGCTGGTAGCAAAAAGCAGCTATGAAAT